AAAAGATACAATAAGTATACAAAAGGTAAATGAAGGATAACATCAAGTATGTACAAGGATAAATGATGTTTTAAAACATACATTGTCTTGACAGATATGCACACTTGGTAGTTTGTACTTAATATTCATTTTACTACTATTTGCTGAACTAAGTCTTTCAATAGTTTTTTGATAGTACTTAGTTGGGATAATGTTTTCCTGGATGCAGTTTACATTAGCACCAGTATTAACCAAGGCAATGGTTTCTAATTCAAAATCATTATCAATGATGATTTTTACTTTAGAATGTCATTTAAGAGATATATATATATATATATCTGAACATCCAAAATTGTTCTCCTTGTTTCTAAAATTTTCAAAAAAAACTCTGAAAACAAGTTACACTTGTTTTCTAATTCTTTGACTCAAATCTCATTTTTTTTTTTCAAAATTTAGAGAACAAAAATGCTAAACAAACAAGTTTTTGATATTTTTGAAATTTTGAGAATAAAAAGTTGTTTTGTAAAGCTAACCAAACACGCCCTACCTTTTCTTGCTTCTCTAGATGCCTATTGCAGGGACGCACTTTTGACGAAAAATCGTAAGTTCTGTGTTGCAAAATATACACAAGAGGCGTAGAAGTATTTCCATCTCTAGGAAGTCCATTTGGGTAGTTTGCCAAACAGGCCCATAATTGTACATTGGACTTTTGAAATTTTAAGGGAAAGCAATAAAATTTCTAAAAACTTAGAATGGTTATATGGATCTTTAAAATGTAAAGGGGTCATGGCCTACGAATGGGTTTGTGGTTATTAAGGAACAGAAATGGTGGACAATGGAGAGGAGAAGGGATTGGGTAGGGGGTGAGGCAGGGCCAGGATGGGCAAGTCTCCTCCCCTCAATTTTTTTTCATTAGTTAGGTATATATATATATATATATATATATATATATATATATATATATATATATATTATATTTGTATAATATATTATTTGTGCCAACTCAAAACTCAAGATAAAAATGTTAGACCCACATTATTTACTCAAAAGAATTAAAAATTAAGTCCATTTAAAACAAAAAAATTTGAGCCCACCACTATCTATCTAAATTTATTAAAAAATCAAATGTTTGACCTATTATAATCCATTCAAACCTATTGAAAAAATAAAACTTTTGACACAACATTAAAAACAAAACTTTTAGCCTCCCCTCAAAATTTTTTTTCCCCTTCATATTAAGCATGTATTTTTTGAAATAAAATTTAGACATATTTAATTGTGCCCACTATAATATTGTGTTCTGGTATTGATTTGAATAGACCTCTACCTAAATAATTGTTACTTTTTTGAACAATGTTATTAAAACCTAATTTATGGACCTATTACATTGCGATATTAAGTATAACAGTGAGTCTTAATATTTAATAAACTCTACTATTTATTCAATGGTCACAAACCATTAGTCTTCATCAATTAAATCTCAAATTAGGTACAACTAATATAATTATTAACTTTTAGACATGTCCGAATATGTTTTGAACATATTGATATTATTTTATAATTTTTTAAATTGTAACGTTATTTCGTTATTGTATAAAAATGTGTGTTGTTATGTAATAAACTATAGGATCCTATATAGAAGATTATTACTGCGATTTTATATATTAAATAAATATTATTAATAAAATTAATTTGTAATTTTTTTAAATAATAAAAATATATCAGGATCAATTGTTAGTAATAATAATTACTTGTGATGAGACATTTCTGTCAAGTTGGTCCACCAACCTCACACTCAATGAAGGAATTGACATATATCACAAGCGAGACCCGCTGCAATAGATAATGACAGATAATGAGTGTTTTTAATAGGCTAACCATGCCTATCTCTTTGTATTGATGGCTGCACAGTGCATGATGGTAAATGACTCTTTAAGTTTTTCTATATATATGAGTGAAGACCAAGAAAGAGGGGCCTCAAGTATGAGCACTTCGACTCTATACTTCACACACACATCTATATTATTTTTCTAGTTTATACACTCGTCTATTCAAGCATTGATCGTAATATTGACTTACGTAACAGAGGGACCTCCCCTGGCTCAACACCGGCGTCCCTCTAACCTTTTTTTATCTTGCAATTCATGGATTCGGTGATACTCGAAGACTAGGGGCGCATCTCACCTCATTTTAGTGGTTGTGCAGACCTTTACCCGTACAATATGGCGCCGTCTGTGAGAACGAAATTTACGCTTTGAAATCTTCATATATCCAACCCGTGAGCACTGTCGAGTCCTTGGTATTAGTTGTGCATCCTTGTACATTCAGATTTGTTCAATTCAAGAAGCTCGGAATCGATTTCCTTCTGTCTATGGGTGTTTGGTCCTTGTAGCAAATTGGTTGCTTGCACAGTCCAACCTTACAAAGCCCTCATTGCAAAGAAATTTGTACATAAAGACTATGGAGCTTTTCACATGGACCAACCAAATAAACTTTCACCATTATTGTTGTGCTAATTTGTCTCTTAGTGCAAGATAACATTGGGCAACTACCATGATCCAGCCCTTCTCGAAGATCTAGAAGTTTTCTTCCTTCGGAATGAAAAAACATCTTCCTCATTGTTCGCTCTGTCCTTTCACCTTAAGTCACTCCACGATGTTTTGGTTTACATGTTGTTTCTGTAGATCGATCTCTGCCTCTTGACCCATGGCAGCAAAGACCCACATCAGAATGTTGTCCACTATTAAGAAGCTCTTGGGCAACTTTCAATTACCAATGAAGCCTTTCTTTCTACTGGACTGCAGATTCAACGTTTACTCAAAATTTTAGTCGGCAGAACTCCTAATCCAACGCTTGGCGTACACTGCAATTATTTCGCAAATTGCTGGAGCTCGGATATCTTGCCGTGTTATATCCCTGTGCAAAGGGCTCGGCGTATGCTAAGATGAGTGGTCTCCCTCCTTATATATTTAAACAAAGTTAGAATAATGCCATGTATGCCACCATGTGAAGCATAAATGTGTAGTCTATTACTTGCTCTTGTAAGTATGCTTGTGTGTCATGAAGAGTTCACGGATAGATGACATCACATGGTAATTATGGCTGCCCACTAGTCTAACTCCCTCGGACCAGCTGCTCAAAGTCACCTGTCTTGTTTTCTTTGTCGCGGGTTCTAGAAACAAGCCAGGTAGTCTTTCTATGCTGCTGGCACATGTAAAGTGGAAACCCAGTAAAAGGGCCTGGTCGGTTTTCCCCCTTGAGTTGTGTGTGCAGCTTGGTCTCACTCCAAGTGCCAAATTATTGTGCATGAGACCAATAGCTCAGCATTCTTTTATAAGTACTACTATTTAAGCTTAAGCCGAAAACAAGTTCACTCCTTTTTTGTGAGGAACCACATTAGAAGTTTTACCATTAGAAAAAAATAAAATAATTGCTCTATTTGCTCTAATGTCATTTGACAAAGATTACACTTGCTCACTTGATGAATCTATGCATGTAGACGCACACAAATAGCAAAAATTATGGAATTTTGCCTAATATGACTAACAGGAAGCAAAGATCCTTTAGTACAATTGTTTTTTGTTGGCTTAGTGTTGTAGGGCTGACTTAGGAGTCTTGAACTCAATTGGTCCATCTCTTCATCATTGGGGTGATCTCAAGGTTGCCAACAAGTTTGGGTGAATTACTAAGTGGTGATCAGTCTCACCTCCGAGAATTCGGAGGGGCTTGATACTATCATGAAAGAATTGCCTCTCCCAAAGTCCTTCAAAATGGTTGGCCTGCAGCTCTCTCCCTCGAGGAGTTGTACCGTTGGACATTCAATCAAGCATCATGGCATGCTTATCGATACACTAATGTAGAGTTACAGTGCTGCACTTAACACACTTTCAACTAGTCACTTCTCAGCTTCTCAAGCCCCAAAGTGATCAACCTACCAACTGATGGTGTATTTTAACGTGATGCAATTTTGTGATGACGAGTTAATAAAAGAAACAATATTGGAATTATTGGGATCTGAGCTACTAAACACGAGGAAATGATACTGAGAATTGTTGGGGAGTTGGGAATTAACACATTAGAAATATAGTGGTTCACCAGTTCGAGAACTCTGCTAATCCACTCTTTAACGAAGATTCTTGCTCTTTTCTTCACTATTTACTATACCAAAAAGTTTACAGAATGTAAAATGTGATACTAGGGTTCTGCCTCTCTATTGACGGCGTTACATAGTATTTATAGGGTTTTTTCTAATTCTACGAGATCCGTCCCGAGATTTTCGTCATTTATCCGAAGAATCCTCTTTGATCTTATGAAGAGATCTTTTCTGGATGAGAGTTTTATGTTTCGATTATGACTCTTTGCTGCCTCTAGGTTTTCTGTTGACAAATAACTATCTCTTTATTACTTCCGCTGCTGCTTTGATTGGGCTGAACTTTACTATGATTTTATGAGCTCTGTGCGTCTAATCTCCACTCCCGAGCTCATACTTGTGAATTGCTCTAAGTATCATCACCAACCAAAACCAATTACTTGATTTGTCCGTCTTCGCACGGGCTCTTTACTCTTGGAAGTTTTTTGGGATGTAGTGTTTTCTCTGCATCTTTGAAATTAATATGCTTGGACACTCGCTAATGTGCAAATAGAAGAGCTGCTCACAACATTCACTCACTAGTGCTACCTCAAGCTTCAGCTCTTCGTCACAGTCGGATGGCAACTCACCTAAAACTCATTTTTGCACACAAGGACAGATATTTCACTGCTTCAACAAAACCCAGAAGGGCAGTCTACCACTTAAATGCTATTTCAGCCAAGAAAATATGCTCAACGCCACTCGGAATATGCTCGGCATCATTGCAATATTGATCGGCACCGTCAAAGGATAACGAGTATATTCAAGTCGACTCATCATCATGGCATATTATCTCGATTCTCAATTCTCTGCCCAGCATTTCTATACAGTTGGGTTCTCATAATTACCCAAAGTGCTACAGCCCATCCACCGAGAGGGATTGTTCCATCAGGCACTTGATCGAACATCGGGAAGACGTTTTGTGCTAGGGCGATCTGTGTGGACCCAGGACATACTGCTCGTTACAGTCAGACGAAGTGAAGCTCCTAGCTATAGAGATGTTCGGGCGTTGTTAACCACATCGGAAAAGCACCTGCACCGAGTAAAAGAAGTGCTCAGAGACTACATGAATTTATTCGATGCCATTAACAAGTTCCACAAGTGTTGTTCGGTGCCTCCGATTATATACGGGAGGCTTCAAATTGATGGGTTTTGAATAACCCAAGAAAGCCATGGTGGTGGTCTTTCACCTCGATCAACGGAGCTCGGCCTCTTTTCTGTCATTCATCACAAACTAATGCAGCATGGGATTGCTCGGGAAAAGGCTAAGCCGAATGATTTCCTAAATTCTGCCCAGCTCCTACGGACATGGGCAATGACGCCGTGATATGATTTTATACACCAGCAAGAATTTACTTTGCTTTGAGGGATTACCCAATTTCGTACGCATTCCAACTCTAAAACTCTTCCTAGGGAAGCACAAGTAGGCGAGAATAGAGGACCTCTGCTGAGCTGTCACACCATTGCTCCAACAAAGGCGTGATAGGGGGCAACAACCCAGACCGAGCAAAGATAAAAGCAAGTAACCTGAGGTATTCAACAACATCAGATCAAGTTTCTGGATTGTGGATCCTCAGGAAATAAAACCTACATGTCTAGGTGCTCAGTGGACTCTGGCTCTGGACACGGGTAAGCCTTTGCTCTGTCAAAACACCAAAAGTTTAATGTAGGCAAAAACCTCTTAGGGACAGGTTCCAAAACTTGGCTTCGGGAGTACTCCTTATTTAGAGAGGTGACATGAGGTTCAAGATTTGACTCTGAATACGGGTAAGTCTTTGCTTGGCCAAAGCACCAAAAAATCTTAATGTAGGCAAAAACCTCTCAGGAACAAGTTCCAGAACTTGGTCTCGGGAGTATTCCTTGTTTATGGAGGTGATATGGGGTTCAAGATTTAATCTTGAACACGAATAAGTTTTTGCTTGGCCAAAGCACCAAAAGTCAATAATGTAGGCAAAAACCTTTCGGGGAAAGGTTCCAAAACTTGGGCTCAGGAGTACTCCTTATTTAGGGAGGTGACATGTGGTTCAGGATTTGACCCTGAACATGGGTAAACTTTTGTTCGGCCAAAACACCAAAAGTCCTAATGTAAGCATAAAACCTCTCGGGGACAGGTTCAAGAACCTGTACTTGAGAGTACTCCTTGCTTAGGGAGGTGACATGAGACTTTAGGTGAGACCCTAGGCATAGCGCAATACAGTTACAAGGGAGAGCTTGACCCAGCGTCAACATTCATGTTCGGAGGTTAGACATGAAGACCTTCTTAAGAAGAATCTCACTAAATGAACCTTGAATTGCCTAACTACGGGTTTGATATATTCAAGACTAAATTCAACAACGTATGCTTTTATTTATTTCAATTAAATGTTAATTGAACATGATAAGAAAAAGGCAGGATTCAACGCCCAGTTGATCATCAAACTTGAGACTGTCGAGGCCAAGAAATAGATATGTTCGGGCCTTCTTTTATAGACATTCTAAAGGAGTCAAGATTATTCAGTCCTTCTTCAAAGGACCCGGTGTATTCGGTCTTTCTTTACAATGAGAGATTTATTTTGATCTTTCTCAAGATTCAAGGTTAATCAATCCCTCTACAGAGGACTGACTACTATTGTTCTATTTAGACTCGTTCATGCTCAACGTTGGTCGCATTCGATTATAGTAACCTTTCTCAGGGTTTTTATTTTGTTATCTTCGTTGGAGTTGGATATGGAGCACCTATGGTTATTCCATTCAAGATTTAAATCTCTCTAAGCAGACATTAAATAGTTATCTTCAATGTTCCTTGAGCTGCTCAATAAAGGACTTCATTGTTACTCGACCTTAGGGGATAGATGTGTTCATGGTCTCTTTATTAAGTCCCTCATCAAGAAACTCGTGTACTGAGGCTTTCTACATAGAGACCTTCTCTCAGAGATCAAGATTGTTTGGCCATGTTGTAAGGACATAGGGTATTCAGTCATTCAAGAATCAAATTTATTCGGACCTACCTTAGACTCATTTGGTTTAACTTCGGAGGCAAAGGTTATGTGGTTTCTAATCAAAAGATTAGCAACATCTATTATTGATATCTGTTGGACATATTTGGCTTGGACGATGCCTCGTTATCGTACTCGAGATTCAGTTATACTCATCCCTCGGATTTGACTGTGGTCATCCTCTTTTAGACTTGGATATTATTGTTTCTTCAGATGAGTATGAACCAATTATGGTTGTCTCGTATAAGATTCGTCTTTCTCCAACGACATCTTATAATTATGTTTGAGATTCTATTATTCGGCCCTTTAATGAGGCATCTCATTATTGCTTGGCATAAAGGGTTTCTTGTATGACATTCAACCTGTGCATGTGTTATTATCTATGGTATTCGGCCTCTGTGCTTGCTTGATAGTATATAGTGGGTCTCGACATATCTCTCCTAAGGCGTACATTGCCAAAGAGAATGTGAATATTATCCCCAAAAACATGAATATTTCAGGTATCTTTCATCTTCTTCTAAGGGCGACAAAAGAAAATGAAAGCAAGGGGGCAATTGACGGGACATTTCTATCAAGTTGGTCCACCAGCTTCACTCCCAATGAAGGAATTGACATATATCACAAGTGGGACCCGCTACAATAGATAATGACAGGTAATGAGTGTTTTTAGTAAGGCTAGCTATGCTTATCTCTCTGTATTGACGAGTGCACAGTACATGATGGTAAGTGGCTCTCTAATTTCTCTATATATATGAGTGAAGACCCAAAAAAGAGGGGATCTCAAGTATGAACACCTCGGTTCTATACTTCACATACACACACACCTAAATTATTTTTCTAGTTTATACACTCATCTATTCAAGTATTGATCGCAATACTGACCTAGGCATCAAATGGGCCTCCCCTGGCTCAATGTCGGGGTCCCTCCAACATTTTTTTGTCTTGCAGCTCATGAATTGAGTGATACTCGAAGACTAGGGATGCATCTCAACTCAATTTAGTAATTGTGCGGATTTTTATCCGTACAAGTTGCATTATCGATAAAAAGTTTTAATAATTATTTTTTTTGTTTATGTTATATATATATCGATTTTTAATTTTTTATGTTTAAAAAGTATTAAATATAATTTTAATAAATATAAAATTTATGAACTTTTACGATCTATTAAAAAAAAAAATTAAAACATACTAATGTGTTCATTTT